CCCCAGGACTTGATGCTGCAAAGATGGTCTGATTATTGAATTAACTGAGTACTGGAAATGCATTATTCCAATGTTTCTAACCGAGCTCCGAACCGTAGCTTGACTTGAGCTGTACCTAGAAAATAAACGTCCTGTGTGGATCTGAGACAGAAGAGTTTAATTCAATTCAAACTTCATTGTCCCCTAGGGACAATAAAATGTTAAAGTATCGACATCATGTTTAAAATGTTTATATGATGTCGATATGTTTGACTGCTTAGGTTTGAACTAAACCTAAAAAGGGCACTAGATAATGGAGACGTGAGTCTGGCGCAAGCGTGTGTGAAGACTGTCCTGATCGCTCGGGCTTCAGCGTGACTCGCCGGGGGTCGTAATGACCTTAAGAACATCGGACCAGATCACTTTATTGGCCATTAGGAATTTGTCTTTTCACAGACCCCAACTTGCTCCCCATGAGACACACAGACAGGGGGAGAAGCTGGAGGTCAGAGCGCAGGGTCAGCCATTTATAGAGCACCCCTGGAGCAGTTGGGGTTCAGTGCCTTGCTCAGGGGCGCAACGCAGTAGGATTCCTCTGCCGGCTGCGGGATACGAACCGGAAACCTCCCAGCCCCAGGCGCAGATCTTCAGGCCCAGAGCCTTGTGTCCACAGCCCAGCCTCTCGATACGAGTTCATTGTAACGTGGAGGAAACGTGAGGCTCGTCCCTTCTTGAGCCGAAGGATGTGACCATCTCATCAACCTCATTAGAATAAGTCATTTATAGCTTTTTGGGTCCTGAACAATAATTGTAGCTTGAACGGACTAAAGCGATCAAAGTAGCCGAATGCTTTCCCACCTGTTGATTTAAAAAGACTGGCTGACATTTATTTGGAATTGAGAAAAGGACTTCGAGATATCATTTAACCCCGCTTTTGTTTTTGGGGGAAAAAAAGACGCAGAAGTAATTTATTTTCTCGTTTCTTTTCTCGCCTGTCATGGAATATCACATATTTAAGTGGTGATGAAAAAAATCATATGTACGGAAGCGTACAGGGAGAAAAA